CTTCTTCGTGGGTTGACCTGTCGGTGTCCTTCACACGTCATTTTGGCTCAGAAGTTTGTCCTGTCGCCTCCGGACCCGTGGGGCGCTTCTGGTGACGGGATCACCTAATATTGTCAACACTGTCACTGTTTATCCAGCACTGAGCGTGGGCTGCGTCTGCAGCCTTAGGGCTGTAATTCAAACCACCAGCCTTCCCCCTTCCCCCCCCCACACCTCGCTGTGTCCTCCCACTGTCCCTCCAGGCCTAGCACAGTGCCTGGCCCGTAGCAGGTGCTCAGAACGAGGAGCCCTTATGATTCTGGTTCTGATCATGGAAACAAGCACGGGACTTATTCATGTGTGACCCCTGCGCCCGGCACAGGGCCTGGCACATCAGGGGCTGAGCACCGACCTGTGACCCAGGAGGTCACATTCGATTTCCAGGCGGGGCACACGGCCAGGTGGCAGGTTTGTTCCCCGGCTGGGGTGTGTGTGATGTTTCTCAAGATCAATTTTTAAAACAAAAAATAGTTTTAAACAAACCAAATGCACTATTAATATAATATTAACAATGATGAAGCCCTCCTATTACCTGGTTTTTCAGTAGGATCGAGCGCATTTCTTGACTCTCGTTTATTTATGTGACAGACTGTCTTGAACTGTCCTGTGGTCTCTTTGGATGTCACATCCCTGTTTGGGGGTTCACAGGAAAGCCATTTACTGGCTCAGCCACCCGTTGAGGACTTCCTTCGACAACACTCCCACCAAGTGGCCACTCGGACGGCACTCGGACGCCCGGACTGAGCTCTCTGCCTGCAGAGGCAGCGCGGCTCATCTTCCCACCGCTTGTTGGGAATCATTGCTTTGGCCTGAAATATGCCTGACTTCCGTCCACTGCCTCAGCTCCCCGCCCTGGGGCCCCGCGGAACTAACATAAACCTCTTCTATACGGCCCCTTCCCATAGCTGCCTGCACAGCTGGCTGGAGCAGGCCCTGGGACCTTCAAAGGGCTGACTCGGGGCAGGTAGCGGGCGGCGTATGGGCAGGCAGGCGGCCCGGCACAGAGAGCGGCTCCGAGAAGAGCAGTCTGCTGAGAGGCCTGTGCAGGACTGCTGCTGGGCTCTGCTTTTAAAGATCTTCCTAGGTCTTTTTTTTTTTTTTTTTTTTTTTTTTTAATAATAAAAGAACATTTATTTGGTGAACCACCTACAAGAAATGGGTTTAGGAAACAAGTTATAGAGACAGCACTCTCAGGGCTTGGGAAGGAGGAAGGCGATGACAATGTGCCTGGGGGGCAGGGGGAGGGGCCAGGGAGAGGGAAAGGTGTGGGCATGCCGCTGGGAGGGCAGCTCCTGGGAGGAGAGGGTCCTGGGAGGGAGGACAGGCTCCTGGGAGGGAGGACAGGCTCCTGGAGGGTGGGCAAACTTGGTCCTCGGTCCTAAGGGGTTTAAGGGTGGAGATTTCAGGGCAGGATCTCAATAGAAGACTCGGCAGTTTTCCAGGTGTGTCCTTTCAAGGTTGTGGTCTCCACTGATTGCCTGGCCGGCACCAGGCAGGGTCATTATTCCGTGCAGCTGGCCCGGGCCTAGCTGTGTTGGTTTTGTTGTTTTTCTGGGCCTGGAGCTGAAATACAACTGAGGCCTTGATGTTATCTCCACGGAGGGAAGGCTGGGGCTCCAAGCCCCATGCCCAGCCATGTTCTAGGGGACAGAAAGTCTCCTGGCGGTGAGGTCCCACCCTGGGGCTTTCCACCTTGGTGACCTTCTGAAGCTGGCCCATCGTCCGTACTGTGCTCGTGTCTAACTGCCCCCACATCCCGCCTCAAGATTTTTTGGGACTTTTTTAAAATGCCGCGGGACACGGGACAAATTGTTAAAAATCGGGACTGTCCCGCCAAAAGCGGGACATCTGGTCACCTTAGTTAAAAGGAAATTAATTAGAAGGTGGCCAACGGGGCGGACTGGGCGAGACAGGCTGGACACACCCTGGAGCCAACCTCCTGTGTTGAGCATCTGCCCCCTGGTGGTGGTCATTGCGCGTCATAGCTAGCGGTAGGACAGTCGAACGGTCGGATGGCTTTTATATGTATAGATTGAAACACAATGTCTCCCCCTAAATGACATGCCAGGCAAAGTCTTGGTTAATAAAAGCACACTTGGAGACTGCTCTTATTGAATCTGGGCAAAGAAATATATTGCCACGACTCAGTCATCAAGAATTGTAGATTTTCTTTTTAAATTTTTTCCCCTTCTTCTTCTCAGGGTTCGCACTAGTAATAAGGCCATTGAGTGATGTTACCTACAGGGTGAGGTCTTCTCATCTAAATATTTCTGTCCTCATGCCTGGCACTTTCACCATCAGAAGTTCCTTCTGTAGGGTCCTGAATGGTTCCTTATGAAAATGGAGTTGATCAGTGCATTTTCCCGCTGGTCAGCTAACATTAACATGGATTCTTTTTTAAAAGGTGGATTATTAAATTTTATCCGGAGCAGAGACCTTGCAGGGATGAGCAGGGCAACACCAAGGGACCAAAAGGTGAAGCTGCTCAAAGGGAGACAAAGACACCTCAGGTGCCACCACTTCAAAGAAAGATGGATGGAGCCACCCTCTGCTCCAGCGTCCATGCGCAGTCCGATTTGCCTACATTAGTCCCAAGCTCTCCCGGGCGCGGTATTTACGTCTACATCAGGATGATCACAAAACAGCGACAGTGAAATCGACCCTGGCAAAGCACGAGGAGCTGCACCCTCCGGGCTAACAAACATCGGAAGCTAGAGAAACAAGTTAACCCAGAAACGGGGCCGTTAGAAAGCCGACTGGGAAATTGGGTCACCTCGGATCTTTTCTCCCTCGACCGTACCGGCTCCCGCAGTCTCCTTTCCAGCAAGTGTCGTGTTTAATTTGGAAATGCGACCGCGTCTGAGAGCCTCTACCCCGGAGTTCACAGGATTCGCGGGAGGATTAAACGGGACCGCAGAGAGGCAAATGCTTTGGTGCCGTGCTGGCCGAGGGCACCGCAGCCCCTTGGGCTCATCAGAGAAACGAGGACAGGGGGCACCTCCGGGCGGCGGCCCCTGCGAGCATCGCTCACCCAGCAAAGAGCACACAGTCTCAGACCTTCCCGTGCCCATGGGCAGAGCCCACCGCACCCTACCCCCGTCCCCGGAGGATGGGAATGGACACCCAACGTAAACACAGACACTAGAGAGCTCCTCCCTGGAAACTGGCCTCCATCACGGAACTCTTCGGTGAAGAGGAGCACGTAGAGGGATTTTTCTGTGAGTAGTCCCGTGGTCGGCAAACTCGTCAGCCCACAGAGCCAAGTATCAACAGCACAACGATGGACATTTCTTTAAAGAGCCACGTTTTTAAAAAAATATATTTTATTGATTTTTTACAGAGTGGAAGAGAGAGGGATAGAGAGTTAGAAACATCGATGAGAGAGAATCATCAATCAGCTGCCTCCTGCACACCCCTTACTGGGGATGTAGCCCGCAACCAAAGCACATGTCCTTGACCAGAATCGAACCCGGGACCTTTCAGTCCGCAGGCTGACGCTCTATCCACTGAGCCAAACCGGTTTCAGCCATTTTTTAAAGTTAAACTTCTTCTAACGCCACTTCAACATAGACTCGCCCAGGCCGTGGTATTTTGTGAAAGAGCCCACTCAAGGGGCCAAAGAGCCGCAGTTTGCCAACCACGGGGCTAGATGATCAGAACCGTGTTACAGCTAAATCACCCCCAAGCACTGACTGTCTTCCCACTTCCTCTCTTCCCCTCCCCAGCCCTCCCCTCCTTTCCTGCGAGGACAACAGATCATGCAGATTCCTGGCTCCTGGCTTTGAAGGCTTTTTTTTTTTCTTTTCTTTTTTTTAATAAAATGATTTTTAATAAGCTATTGCAAACATAAAGGAAAGCCAAAGAACAGAGACCTGGCTGTGTTAAGGTTCGGATCCTCCGCTTGGGATCTATTTTAAAACGCTATGTGTCGGCACAGGGTGCCCACTCTCCGTGCTACCGCCTCTCCCAGGGGGCGCCGCGGGCCTGGGGCTGTGCGGACCCCCTGCTTCCTGCTCCCGTTCGGATGCACTTTGCCAAACGGTCCGCTATCTGCCAACCACGCCGTGTCCCCACAGGGGAGGAGTCCCTCGCTCCAGGGTGCAGTCCACACCTTAACAGGCATTAGCAGAGCTTAACGCCTTTTCGCATGGCCCTGGCTGGCGTGTAGAGCAGTGGGTAGAGCGTCAGCCTGCAGAAGGAAAGGTTCGATTCCGGTCAAGGGCATGCCCCTTGGTTGTGGGCACATCTCCGGTGGGGGATGGCATCCCCAGTGGGGGGGTGCAGGAGGCAGCTGGCCAATGCTTCTAACTCTCTATCCCTCTCCCTTCCTCTGTAAAAAAAAATCAATAAAATATATTTAGAAAGTAAAAAATTTTTTTTAAATAAAGTGATTGCCACACACACACACACACACACATTCATCATGGTGTTTCTCCCTCCCTCTCTCTTTCTCTCTGAAATCAATGGAAATGTATTTTTTTTTAAAATAAGACGATCACCACAGAAGGATCTAGCGAAGCGTCTTATTTAGAGCGGAAAGGAAACCGGCAGCTATCACCACCTTCATGGGACTTTCTAAGTCCTCTGAGGGGGCGTTTCCTGAGGTGAAACCTGATGGAGACCAGGGATGCGCCCAGGCCGCACCGGTGCCTCTGCCCTGACCCCGCCGGAGCCAGCCTCGCCCTGCGGGCCCCGCCCTGCGGGCACCAGCCGACCGGCCCGGGAGGGATGCACGGAGGGCTCCCGGGCCCAACTCTTCCGGTCGCGGTGGGGAGAGGCCAAGCCCACGGGCTGCGGAACCCGGCCCGCCCTTCACCTCAGAGCAGGGCTGCGGACGCCCTTCACCTCAGAGCCGAGCTGCGGACGCCCTTCACCTCAGAGCCCGGCTGCGGACGCCCTTCACCTCAGAGCCCGGCTGCGGACGCCCTTCACCTCAGAGCCCGGCTGCGGACGCCCTTCACCTCAGAGCCGCGCCGCCGCCCGCCTCACCTCCTCTCCCGGTGGTCGGTCCCGCCCCGACACCTCGGGGCAGGTGAGGGGCGGAACCGGAAGGCGAGCGAGAGGCCCAGGGCGAGGGGACTGGACCGCAGCGATGGAGGCGCCCCCGGGGCGCGAGCCTCCCCAGGCCGAGCGGGTGAGGGGGCGTGGCCTGGCGCGTGCCTGAGGAGGCGCGAAGGGCAGGGGGCGTGTGTCGCTGTGAAGGGGCGTGTCCGAAGCTCTGGAGCGCTGATTGGCTGCGTGCTGCGAAGGCTTGAGGGGGGCGTGTCCCAGCGCGTGCTGAAGGAAGCTTGGAGGGTAGGGGGCGTGTCCCTCGGTGGAGGGGGCGTGTCCGGCGCGTGCCGAGGGAGGTGGAAGGGCAGGGGGCGTGTCCAGCGGTGGAGGGGGCGTGTCCGAAGTTCTGGAGTGCTGATTGGCTGCCTGCTGCGAAGGCGCGAAGGGGGCGGGTCCCGGCGCGTGCCAAAGGAAGCGCGAAGGGTAGGGGGCGTGTCCCTCATTTGAGGGGGCGTGTCCGAAAGGCAGGGGGCGGGGCCACCGGGAAGCTCTGGAGCGCTGATTGGCTGCGCGCTGCGAAGGCATGAGGAGGGGCGTGTCTTCGGGCAGCTCTCCCGGGGCTGAAGGGGAAAGTGTCCAGGGGAGGGCACGTCTGTGGACTTGGTCACCTCCTCCTCCCCCTGCTCCCCGCTGGGGGCGAAGGGCAGGCAGTTTGGGCCTGGACATCTCCAGCCATGGCGGAGCCTGAGTGGGAGTCGCTGGAGCAGTGCTTGGAGAAGCACCTGCCGCCCGCAGAGTTGAGGGAGGTGAAACGCCTTCTCTATGGCAAGGAGACCAGGTCTGGAGCCCAGAGGCTTTGGCGGGGGGACGGGGGGCCGGCGAGTGTGGGGAATGTGGGCCTGGGGACCAGGCTGCGTACTTCAGGATCTGCAGGGGCCGTAACGAAGTACCGAGCAAAGACCATAAGTTTAGATGTGCCGCTCGGGGGCCAGGCCAGGCTGGTGTGACCTTTCCAAGCCACTTCTCCCCTCCTTTGACTCGAACCGGAAGGGAAAGGACAGGTATTTTGCTCCCTGAGGCTTTCTCGGTGGCCACCTAACTCTCCTTCCTGGCTTCCAGGGATCAGGCTCCCTCCAGAGCCTGTACTCTGGTGTCCGTGCTGGTCAGAGCCTCGGCCTGAGCCCCAGCAGGTCACCTGGTTGCCCAGCCCCAGCCCCTCCTTGGGGTGGGCCTCTGGCGGTCCCTGGAGGTGGAGGCCTGCTGAACCAGGGGGGCCTCAAGAAACCCTTCCCACTTGGCAAGCGGTGGGAGTTGGTGACCACGCTAAGTGCAGATGTTTTCCCCCTCGCAGCCGGTCCTGGGCTTTCTGAGGGCATTGCCTGCTGGACCTGGGTTTGCAAAGGCGGAAGACACTGCCCCTTCCCCCAGGTTCTCCCCCTCGGGTTCTCTTCAGTCCCCTTTTCTCAAAGCACCCGGAAAAAGTAAACCATAGCCAATGGCTCCTTTGCTTAAAGGTCTATATGGGGCAGGTAGAGCCCCAAGAAAGTGGAGGGGCCTGGCTTGTACCGCCTCAGGCCTAGCAGGGACTGAGAGCTGGAGGAGCACTCAGCATAGACGGGAGGAGGCAGGAGGTGGCGGCGGGAAGACCAGAGAGCAGGCAGCTGTGGGCCGTGGGTCGGGGAAGATGGCGGCGGCGGAGGGGCATCGCCAGGTGATGGTGATAGCCGGGCTGCTAACCTGCCAGCCATTACCTAATAATAATAATACCCCGTCCCCCTGCTCTCCTCCCGGTGTGAGACCGCAGGCCGAGGACCGGCCGCCAGGGTCTCCCTCAGCGGGGTGCGGCTCCTGGCATGGACTTAGGCTTTTCCGTCCACCACGGGGCCTGGGCCTGGGCCTGGGGCTGGGCCCGCGGGATGGAGGGCCCCCCGGAGGGAAGGACCGGCTCCGAGGCAGTCACGGCAAAGGGGGCGAGTGTGGGCACCGCTGTCATGTCTGAGCTGCGAAGCAGAGGAGCTGATTGGCAGGGGCGGAGCCCGTCCCGGGAGCTGTCAGGCTGTCAGGTGGGAGCCGCCTGGCAGGGGGCGGCAGGGGCTTGGTGACAGGCCTGTGATTTTGAAAGAAGCCTCTTGAAGAGAGTGACTTTGGGTGGGAGGGAAGTCTTATTCTTAGACAATGGCTGTCAGGTTGTTTTTTGATGTGTTCCCTGGGTATTTCATAACCACGCGTCCCCGGATGGCAAGGCCTCCCGGGCCGGGGCCACGCTGAGAGCCGCAGGCGCTCACACGGGGCCAACGGGCACTCCTGGGGGGGGGGGGGGGGCTCGTCAATCATCCACCGGCCTTTGTTAATAAACCACAGACTGGGAGCTCCCCGGCCTTTAGCCTGGACATGTGGGCCCTCCCCTGCCCACCCAGCACTGAGCGAGGGACCACCCCCCGTCCACTGCCCCCCGCCCCCCCTCCCCCAGCCAGTGCGGGTCCGGGAGACTTGCAGTCCTCAGTGTGAAGGGCCTCAGGGCCCTCTGTCCCGCTCTCAGTCCGGCCTCTCCACCCAGATTCCCTGAACCCAGTCCTCAACAGCCCCCTCTCTTATCACGGCGCAACCCCCCGCCCCCAGGCTCAGCAGAGTCTCTGATTCCGTCCGCAGGCATTTTTGGGAATCCATTTCCCGCTCCTGTGCTGATGGCTGAGACTCATCTCCCCTGATTTCAGCCCCTCCAAAACCCCAGCTCCTGACCGGGCTTCCTGCCGCTCCCCTCCCCACCTCCCTTGGCCAGGTCTGACCTCTGCCCCCTGCTGGAATGTCCCCAGTGACCATCAGCCTACGTCCACACTCGGTGCCAGGTGCAGGCCCTCCCCCTCCTCCAGCCCCCACACGTGCGCCCTGCCATTGGTCTGCTCTGTGTGCCTTCTTCTTTCTTTAAATATATATATATTTTTAATGATGTCAGAGAGGAAGGAAGAGGGAGAGAGGAATAGAAACATCAATGCTAAGAGAGAATCGTGGACCAGCTGCCTCCTGCATGCCCTCCCCTCCCTCCCTCACTGGGAATCGAGCCTACAACCCAGGCCTGTGCCCTTGACCGGACTTGAACCTGGACCCTTCCGTCTGCAGGCTGATACCCTATCTATCCACTGAGCCAAACTGGCTAGGGCTCTGTGTACTTCCTTTTCTAAAATTTTTTATTTTATTTCAGAGAGGAAGGGAGAGGAGAGAGAGGAATAGAAACATCCATGATGAAAGAGGATCGTGGACCGGCTGCCTCCTGCTCACCCTACTCTGGAGATCAGGCCCGCAACCCGGGCCTGTGCCCTCGGCCGGGAATGGATCTCTGACCTCCTGGTCCATTCGTCGATGCTCAAGCCCTGAGCCGGCCGCCCTGGCTCTGTGTGCCTTCCTGCCGGGACACGTGACCTCTCCCCTGCCTGATGGTGACGGGCCGGGGGGTTCACGTCAGTGCGCATGCCAACCATCTCCCTCTTCTCTCCGCCGCCCGTGTAGGAAGCTGGACCTGCCCAGCGGAGCTTTGGAATCCGCCGCCAAAGGGGACTTCGAGCTGCAGGGATACGCCTTCGAGGCGGCCGAGGAGCAGCTGAGGGCCCCGAGGGTCGTGCGCGTGGGGCTGGTGCAGAACAGGCTGCCCCTGCCCGCGGACACCCCCGTGGCCAAGCAGGTGCGGCGGCTGCTTCTGGCCCTAAACATACCCACGGTCCGGGCGCTCTGTGTGTGGGACACAGCCCCGCCCCCTGCTGGCCACTTGGTCCTGGCTAGCGGGTACATCGATGCCCAGACACCTCTGCCCTGACCACCCCCATCCCTCTGCCTGTGTCTCCCTCTTGCTCTTCTTCTTCTTCTTCTTCTTCTTCTTCTTCTTCTTCTTCTTCTTCAGTATATTTTTTATTGATTTTTTACAGAGAGGAAGGGAGAGGGATAGAGAGAAACATTGATCAGCTGCCTCCTGCACACTCCCCACTGGGTATGTGCCTGCAACCAAGGTACATGCCCTTGACTGGAATCGAACTTGGGACCCTTGAGTCTGTAGGCTGATGCTCTATCCACTGAACCAAACCGGCTAGAGCCCTCTCGCTCTTCTTTTTTTCTGCCTCCCCCCCCCCCTTTTCTCTGCCTCCTCTCGCTTCTCACCTCCACCCTCCACCTCCACCTCTACATCCTCTTCTGCCCTTGACCTGTGGCTCCATCTCCCCTGGGGACCAAGCCCTTGTGGCCGATTTGCACTGTCCACGGAACTTCAGCTCTCAGCCTCCCGCCAGCGGGCACCGGTCAGGACCTGTCCATCTGTTCCCGACTTCCTCTGCCTGGTCCCTCAGGCCGGGACTCACTGTGCCCAGGTGTCTGCCAGCTGATGGACCCGCGGGGTTGTGGGAATGTGAGATGCGTTTGCTTATGAGCTTGCACGGATTATCAGTGGGACGGCACCTTGTGTTTCCCTAACAAAGCCTGCTGGCACGGACGGGCGGCTGCTGTGCACACGGCTCCCAGCTCTCCCGCAGCTGCTGGCGCCGCCCGGCTCTGCACAGGCGTCCCCCGGCGGCCGCCTGCTCAGGAATTCCTAGGGGTTCTGAGACACCGGAGGTCATCCGGGCTCCAGGTCGGGTTTCTGCATTGTCCTCACTTCGGTTCTCCTTGTGCTTTTCATTATTTTATATATATATAATTGATTTTTTACAGAGAAGAAGAGAGAGGGATAGAGAGTTAGAAACATCGATGAGAAAGAGTCATCGACCAGCTGCCTCTTGCACACCCCCTACTGGGGATGTGCCCGCAACCAAGGTTCATGCCCTTGACCGGAATCGAACCCAGGACCTTTCAGTCCGCAGACCGACGCTCTATCCACTGAGCCACACCGGTTTTGGCAACATGTCTTCTTGACAGTCCCAGGTTGTCAGGGGCAGGGGTGTGGGCCACCCTAGCACCCCGCTCGGCACGCTGTCACCAGCAAACACCCGTGGGCCCGGGTGCGAGCCTTGCAGGGGACAGGGCAGCGTGAAGAGTGCATGCTCTCTGGGTGTTTGGCGGCTTCCGGTCCCTTTCCCCGAGCAAGCCCTGCTGACCGCCTCCGGAGCCAGCCGGGTGCTGAGGACACGGGGACGGTGGGGTCACGCTCCTCCCGGGGTGCTGGAGTGACAGGCGGCGGAGGAATGTGACGGTGCAATG